GTGGGCAGCTCTACCCCCATCAGGAGTTGGGAGGGGTACAACTCTCCAGCCCCATCACCGCATTTTCAGGGACATGGACGTAGGCTGCCCTACAGGTACCCGTCGACCTACGACTCTGTGAGGATTCCCCCCACCGTTGGAGAGTTGGAACTATAAACAAGACGCCATTAGCATCAGTGCCACCACTAAGTACCGACCTTCTGGCAGACGCGCTACTAAGCGTTGCAACTCATCTAATCTTACTAGTCACATCAGGCCTGTGAGGTGTGTAGTATTATTACCTCCAATTCCTAGAGGAGAAGACGGAGGCTCAGAGAGCCAAGGTCGTGCTACTAGCAGAGCTGGGATCTGAGCCCAGGTCTGACTTGGAATAAAGTTTAAAGCTGGAAAGGGTCTTGCCCCTTCTTTTACAAATGACAAACTACTGGACAGGGAGGCTGAGGCCATCAGTAGCAGGTCTGGGACAAAAACCCAAGCCCTCTGACTTCCAGCCCAGGGTGGGCCTTGAGGCTTGTGGCTTGTGAAGCTGTAAGTGGATGTGGTTTCTAAGTTCTATAAAGAACTTCGGATATGGGAGCATTAATTACTCCCGGCCCCTGTGCAGCACCATTTCTTCTAAGGGGTTCCTCCAAAATTCCCTTTCCTGGGGATTAAGGGGAAAAAGGAATATGGAAGAACTACTCAACTCCAAACCCAGGCTGTCCCTTAAGGCAAACCTGAAGATGGCTGCCGGCCTGCGTGGTCAAGCCTGGAGGCCTGCAGGGAAGAAGCTGACAGTGTTTATCTCCGTTCTTGCCAGGCAGGCTTCCAAGCCCCAGGCAGGCCAAGCCCCAGTCCCAGCTCCAGGCCATTGTTCTCATTGTTTCTTCCTCCCAAGTTGCCCTTCCCAGCATCCTTGCCTGTCCCATGTCCCGCCTAGTTTCAAAGCCCAGCTAAAAGGCACTGCATTCCCTGATCTCCCACCACCATCATCACCCAGAAATGGCTTCTACGTTTGGTCCCGGAACCCCCAAGACTTCCTTTGCAGTTCTACTCTGGACTCTCTCATCCCCCCGCTTAAATGACAAGGATGTACTCTCCTGTCTGCCCCTGCCGCCAGCAAGTCAGGAGCCCTCTAGGGGCCTCTCAGCGCCGATCTGTGAAACGCTGCGGAATGAACGGAGAATGGGAGCACAAGTCGGCCACATCTTTTTGCTTATTTATGCACATCCCCAGGTTTGCATCCAGATCTGTAACTGTAGCCTTCCCTCCTTCTCCAGCACCCATCACAAGCTGCATTTAAAACTCTAAGTCCTAGAGAGTGAGGACCAAGTCATTCTAGTGGTCTAGAAGGGACCACCGTGGTCTAGTGGCAATCTCTGCAGCACCAGTCAAAGAGGGGGGCTTTAAAAAACATCCACCAAGTCCGACTGTGGTTCAGCACTGAAGACACTGTACAAGGGCCTATGGGCAAGACACACAGAGGAAGGTCCTGCTCTCGGCGGCTCTCCCAGAGAAGGCGGGGGCCCCTGAGGATGGGGACCTTCCAGCCGTGCTCCCTCTCAATCCCCAGCAAATGAAACAGTGCCTGGCACAAAATAAAAACTGAACAGCCACTGGCTGAAGAAACAAATGAATGAATACTCATTGCCCCACGAGCACTGAGCGCACCATATAAGGCAGGGTGATGCTGAACGCTGAGTTGTCTGCCTGGTGAGTCAGAGCTGCAGAATCCACAGGCAAGAGAGGCTGAGAGAGAGAGAGAGAGAGACCAAGGAAGGGCCAGGAGGTTTGTGGTTGACCAAAATCAAGCAAAGGATGTATCTTAAAAAGCACTCGGCCACATTGCCCGGGAGGCAGGAGCATACGCTGTGGTTTTCCATCTTTTTTTCTGCAGAGGGATCTTTTTTCAAATGAAATCATACACCACACCCTAAATGCATAACAGAGCTGCCACGGTGGACGTCAGCTGGGGCTGCCAGGCGCTGCGCCTGCCTGTGCCCTGGAACCCCGAACAGGCCCCTGGGGCCCCTCAGGGGTGGGGCTGCTGCTCGGGCAGTGACTGCCTCCTCCCTCTCCTCCGCCATCTCAGAGGCCTCGGGAAGGTGGTGGCTGAGGGGAGGGCCGTGGCTGCTCCTCTGGAAAGGGGACTGTCATAGGTTTGGTCTTCTAGAAGGCCACTGAGGGCAAAAAGATGCTAAAGTAGCTCAAGAAACTTTCCCCAGCCCTGAGGAAGCGGGAGTGGGGTGGGAATGGGGGTGAGAAAGAAATGGTCCTTCAAGCAAGTAAGGGGAGGGGAACTCAAGGCAGCCAGATATGGTGAGGCTAAGATAGCAGGGTAGCTGCTAGGGAGCAGGGACTCAGTATGGGCAGGACTTCAGGGGACAATCCTTTGGAAAAGTGAAGCCCCACCTGCAGCTACATCGTGTGTGTTTGTGGGCATGTATGTGTGATAATGTGAGTGGACATGCAAACCAGGTTTTCAGGTTCCAGATCCATCGACACAGGCGTACCTGTCAGAAGGCCCCCTGGGTGCTATAAGCCACAGGAAGGGCCTGTTTGGGACAAGGGGGCCCTCCTGCTTGCTCCCTGTTCCCCACCTCCTGCTCGGGCACCCAGAGGGAGCATCTGTTGTTTTGTCTGTCCAGCATTCCTTCCTCCTCCTTCTGAAAATAACACCTGGTTTGTGTTCCGTTTGGGCTATCAGCCCTCTGGTGCTTTCAGGCCCACTCCCCCCACCCACAGCACACACACCATCACCGCCCCTCATCCAACAATGACCTAGTCTGACCAATCGGCATATTCTCTCGTGGTGTCAGCGACTGGTCACAGATGGTCATGTGACCCAAGACCAGCCAATAAGCTTCAACTTTGGGACTTTTGTTGTAACTCCTGAGAAAAAGCAGCTCTCCTTCCCCTGGATTTTGCAGTGAGCTGGATGTCAGTCCGCAGCTGCTGGTCACCGCTGCACGGCCACACAGGGAGTGCCTGCCAAGGACCGAAGCCCACAAGCAGGAAAGGCAGAGGGCACCGACAGGAGCATCGTGCAAGCCCTGGATGCAGCTCTGCCCTGGGTACCAATAAACAGACTTCAAATTGCCAATATGTAAAAAGCTAACAAATTGCCTGTCTTGCTTAATCAAGTCTGAGTTGAATATTGACTCCTAACTCATGCAGCATCTGATCTCAGGTCTGCCTTTGCCTGCTTCTTATCACTGGGTCTCCCCTGCCACCAGCCTTCACTTCTGGGCTGTCATTGGCTCTTGTTGACCTGGGCAGCACCTCCAGTCTTCCCCTCGGACCCAAGGACCAGGTACAGGCCAGCAGCCTGCTGGGCTCTCCTGTGCCCCAGCCTTCCCAGCTGCCTGACCCCTCCTAGGGCTGTATTTTGGCTGATCTAGTGAGATCTCTCCCAACTTGGCTCTCATATCCACTCACTCTGTCCCCCTCCCGCCATTGTCCTGCCTCATTGACCTTCAGTCCTGCCGGGAAAGACAGGTACTAAACAATGAATGAGGCTCTGGAATCCAGCCACTCCTGAGCTCAGGGACAGAGAGTCACCCCAGGGCATTGGTTCCTGTCTCAGAGAAACCTGTCATGGGTAGAGGCTGCGGGGTACAGTAGGAGGGCTTTGAGCGCAGCTGTCAAGCAAGCCCAGAAAAGTTCCTGGATCTCTCACCTGCTGTACCACCTTAGGCAAGTTGCCCTCTCTAAGTTTCATAATCTTCAACTTAAAAAGGAAGATCATGCCACTACATACCTAACAGAAGGACAAAAGTCCACAAATTTGATAGCACCGATTCCTGATAAGGATGTGGAGGAACAGGAACTCTTACTCACTGCTGGTGGGAATGCAAAATGGTACAACTGCTGTGGAAGACAGCTTGGCAGTTGTAAAAAGATCACTGGTTGGCAGGGAGTGGAAGAAGGAAGAGAGGATAGAAAGAAAAGGGGGGGTAAACTATCTTATCTGGCAAGGTGGGGGTCCCCCAAATCCATTTTCCTCTTCTTCCACTGAAATAGAATTGTACTAGGGCAAATGGCCACCCAGAATAAAGACTAATTTCCAGCCTTCCCTGTGACCAGGTGTTTCATATATTTACATTCTGGCCAATGGGACACGGATGGAAGTGATGTGTGCATTATCTTAGAGGGCCGGGTACCCTCTCCTTTTCTGGCTTCCCCCTCCTGCTGAGCAGAAAGGAGAGACTGCCTTGGGTCATCGTGGGTCATGTAGATGAGAGATGGGGGAGTCACAGGACAAAGGAACGTGGCCTCTAATGTTTTCATAGAGAAGAATCCCCTTAGCTCAGAACTTTACTTAGGAAAGAAGCAACTGCTCTTTTGTTTAAGGAACCATAATTTTGGATTTTTGTCACACACAACCGAACCCATTTTCCAACTAATGCAAGGAACGTCAAGGACTGTTGTGAGGATCTTGCATAACATCAGTAGGTAAAGCATCTTTGCATGTGCATATTCATTCAACAAATAATGGCCAGTTTACTCTGCTGGGATCTGGGGGTTCAACTAAGGAAGACAGACCCCTGCCTTCTCGAAGTCCACATTCTAGCATGAATGTGAACTCTACTCCATCAGCATGAGAATAAACTAATTTCAAATTGTCACAGGGGCAGGCATACTATTAGTAACAGCTAATGTTTACATGGTTCTGAGCTTACTGTGTGTTCATCCTGTTCTAAGCCTTTTCCATGTATTGCCTTATTTTATCTTTACTCCATACCCAAAAGGTGGGTGCTGTTGCTTCCTTGGCTGACTCATGAGGAAGCTGAGACACAGAAAGGGCTCAAGGCCACACTCCTAATAATTGGCGATTCCAGGATTTGAACCCCGCCTCTTGGACTTTACAGCCTTAGCCACTGGGCCCTCCTGCTAATGAAGGGACTAAAACAGGGCACTGAGATATATATGATAGGGTGCCCTCCTGGTGGTTACTACCAGGCATAACAACAACAAAAGCGGCATAACGCCCCACACTAAACAAGCCTGAACTCCCTTACCTGAGTGGCTGGCGTCTGGGAAAGGACTGCGTCTCTAGAAGCCAAATTCCAAGGGTTCAAGTTGCTTTGACGATGATGTCAGAGGCTCTTGCCACTGCAAGCTCAGGGCTGTCCAGGAGATGCCCACCTGTCAGAGACCAACAGAGCCAGCCGTGACTGCCTCGTTGGCGGAGATCTTCCTGCCTGTGCTGCCTGAGGTCTCTTGTTTTTATTTGAAATGCTCTCTGGACCCCAAGAAGGCAAAGATGCAGAAGCCTGGGGTTATGTGTCTAGATTGGTAAGCCAGACAATTCTAAGATGCAAAGGTATGCACATGCCTGTGTGTGTACGTCCCAAAAAATACGTAAGCGTCACGCCCACTGTGTCTAGCACAGTGCTCTTTGCAGAGTGGGGATACCCGACAAATGTTCATGGTTTACTTTGATATAAAACAATTTTACATGTCTGAGTGAGTGGGCGGAAACTCCGGGAGAGTTCAAGTACTTTGGAGGAAAGCTCCTTTCTCATGTACTAAAGCATTCTCGGAATGCTCCATGGAGCCAGACCAACGGCTTCATTTTACCAATGAGGAGAAAGACATCCAGAGAGGGGCAGGGACTTGTCCAAAGTCACACAGCAATTTGGTGGCCGAGTGAGGCCTGAACCTGGGGTCTCCTCTGAGTCATGGCGGGTGCTCTCTCTAGGGTTTCTCCCTCCTTTGTAGTTGTCGGCCTTGCAGCCCCCAGGGCAGGCAAGGCCACACGGCCGGGGTCTGCGCATGCCTGTCGGGGGATGCTGGGATGGGCCAGAGCAGAGAATGGCTTCCTGGCTGTGTTCAGGCCGGACGAGGCGTGGGAGGCACCGCCCACAGTGGTCAGAGGATGGCCTTTGGAGGCAGGTGGATCTCGTCACATGCCAAGGGGCAACCTCTTCCCAGAAGTGGGGCCTAGAACACTCAGGTGTCCTCTCAGGGCATCAGTCTCCTGGTCTGTAAAACAGGGATAATGACAGCATCTCTCTTTAAAAACTGCAGGGAGTTAAAATGACTTTCAAAGTCTGAAGCCCACGGCAGAGCATTTGGCACACAGCGAGCGCTCAATAAATGTCAGGGAGGCAACGCAGGAGAGGATACTGTGAGTGCCTGTCGGGGAGGTGGAGCACTGGACTGGGAGTTGCTTTTTGTCCTTGGCACATCTTCAGACAAAAATCTCTCAATCCCACCGTGATTTATTTCCTCTGATCCCAGCTTTACCCCCTTCTCTGCCTCTCATAGACCAGCGTGGGCCCCCCGAGCATGTCTGCTTCTCCCTCTGGGCTGCAAACTCCCCGCCTGTCCACGGGACCCCAAACTCCAGCCCACCTTTCACCAGCCAGCAAAATGCAAATGTCATTAGCACTCTGCATGCTGGTGAACGCTAATGTCACGCCAGACAGCAGCCAGCACACCCAGCGTGTGAGAACGGGAGAGGGGTGGGACAAATCCCTAGGAGGGGTGGCATTCTCCGCTTTTTCCAAAAGGGTATGATAAAGAAATAAATAAGTGACTGCAGGAAAGAGGTGACCATGAAGACCGTGTGAGCAGCACACTAAGCATGGCTGCCTGCGGCCCTGCTCCAGCCCCGCCCAGTGACGTGTGCGAGCCAGCCTCTCCGGGCCCCCTCCCCACGCACACTTGGTGAAGGGGCTCACCTAGGGGACCCCCATCCTCCTTCTTTCATTTACACCCCAGTCCATGACGCCTCAACCCTACTAAGAGAATCAGGCCACCCACCCTATTAACAGGCCCACGGCTGTGGATGGAGGACCTTCATTCCCAGGAGGCGACAGTAGGAGAACTCCATGGACCCTCAGACAGAAGTCCTGGGTGCCAGCCCCAAGCCCAACTAGCTTGTGAGCACCCAGGCATGTCCTCTTCTTCTTGGGGCCTTGGTTTCTCCACCTGTGAAAGCGGGCGTTGGACCCACCACCAGCCCCTATTCTGCCTCTCGGGGTCAGGTCTCAAACCCAGGGCTCCAATAACTCACAGGCAGAGATGCCAAAGTAAGGCTCCTCCTCCTCTGATTTCCTTATGACAACAGCGCTGGTGACCTCAGCAGGCACCTTAAGGCTTCCTGAGGTAGAGGATCTGGAGATGAGAGGAGGGTGCTGTGGGCAGGGGGCCAGGGTGAGCAAAGGTACAGAGACACCCAAGTAGGGGCCTCAGGCAGAGCGGGAAATGAGATGGAAAAGTCCTGTGGTCAGCGCTTTACACTGCACGTTGATAAAACGCGAACAAAGTGCCTCCCCAAGCTGGCACCGGGCTGGCCCTGACGCCACAGAGAAGACCCAGGAGTTCCGCATCCTGTAGATCACAGCAACAAGAGCATTCGCTCGTTTTGGTGAGCATTAACCGAACATCTGCTGTGCACCTGGGACTCGGAAGGTGCTGGGGATGAGGGAGGCACAGAGTGCGCCTTCAAAGGAGCTCGCTGTTACAGAGAAGCGAAGGCAATGACTTTGTTTTCATAGTTCAAGGAGGCTAAGGAGGGCTGATCACCTGGTTCTGCATTCAGAGGAGAGAAGGGCCCCTTCCTTCTTGAGCCCCAGGGAAGGCTTCCTGGAGGAGGGGGCAGATTTGAATGTAAAGAAAGGAGAGGAGGGCACTGTGGGCAAAGGGACCAGGAAGAGCAAAGATATGGAGGTACCCCACTGCGGGGTGGGTATTCAGTACCATGAGCCAAGGCTGCCTATTGGGGTAGAGCAAGAAATGAGACAGGAAGGGGAGGCAGGGGTTGGATGGTTCAAGTCCTTGAATGCCAGGCTAAGGATGACAGACTTCATGCGCAGGCAATGGGGAGCTGCTGAAGGTCACAGAGCAGAGGTAGTCTCTGGGCAGAGAAGAAGCTGGAGGGGGCCTGGGCAAATGGAAACAGAAGACGGGAGAATGAAAGGGAGGTAGGAAGGGCCTATGGTCATGGTGAAGAGTAAAGGCCCAATGGAGAGCTAAGTGGATGATGGGGAGAGACAGGTGCAGGAGGAAAGATGGTGACTGGGCTTAGGTGTGCTGAGTTTGTATCCCAGCCCTGCCACCGCCACCAACTGTGTGGCCTCAGACAGGTCATTTAACCTCTCTGGGCCTCAGTTTCCGTCCCTAAAAGTGAAAAAATAAATAAATAAAGCCACTCCATCGGGATGTAGGATTCGAACAGATAATATATGAGGAGCACTTTGAACACAGTAAGCGATTGTTGGATGCTTGCTTTCTTAAAAATGTAAGCATCTATTGCTTTTATTAATCAGCGGTGCCCTTTCTGATTACAAATGAGGTACACTGAAGCTCAAGGTCAAATGACTGGCTGGAATTGGCAACGCTGGGCCTCAAGTCACAGGCGGAACAAGTTACGAGCAAATAAACTGGGGATGACTCAGAGAAGAGTCTGGATTTTAAAATATGGCTAAAACAAGGACTGTTTTATGACTTCTGCACTGTGCGCTTATTAAAACCCAAGCTATAAATGTGAACTAATAAGTAAAATGAGTTAAGTTAATGTAAAAAATCAACCTTCAGGATATATCCATATTACCTAATGGCAGCCCATAAACATAAACATAAAAATTTAAAATACAAGAATGAATTGCCATGCCCAGCAGCTCGGGGATTCTGCAATTTCTCTGTCTGAGAAATAAAAGCTATTGATTTTAGCTTGGGTTCTCATTGCTCATGAGTGAGTCTTTGAGAAGTCATAAAGGAAGGAATTATTTCTGATTGTTTACTCACTAAGGATCGGATGTATTGAATTTAAATTGTCTCCGATTCCTAATTAGTACAAACCAAATTAGAATCCGAGTCTAGTAGATCTGGAAAGGCCCTTGGAGGCCTCTAAACTCACTCAGTTTTCTTTGTTTGATAGACCTGGAACCTGCGGGACAGAGAAGGAGAGCAACTTGACCAACATGAGCAAGTCGGGTAGGATCCAAAGTAGAACCGGGGCTCCTGGCTCCCACGGCTGAGTCCCGCTCTGGTCCCTGCAGCCTCTGGGATGAGATCATTAAATCCAGGCCTCCAGGGTATTACAGGAGCCTCAGCGCAGGTGGCTGCTACAACGGCTTTCTCTCTCAGCTGCTAGAAAAACTGAACCTGCCCCAGAAAGGACCGTAGAAGCCAAGGGTCTAACGCCACAGCGAGTTCTAAGACACTCTAGCATATTGCCATGCATGGAGGAGCCCTTGAACCCCCATGCCAACCCACAGAGCCAGGCAGCTCAGCTGGGAAGGAGACAGGGGTGCGGTTGTTCTGGGAGAGGCTTTAGGCTGTCACAGCCCCAGGGCCAGGTCATGTCCTTCCTGTGTCCCAGGACAGGGTGGGGACAGAAAGGCCTCGATGTATGGTGGGGAAGGGAGGCTCTCAACTCAGCCAGACTTGCTCTTGCTGTTTCTCCTGCACACACACACACACACACACACACACACACACACACGAACGAGCACCACAGCAACCAAGGAGCCTTGCATGTGGCACAGGCACGTGTGTGTGAGTGCATGTATGTTCAGCTTCAGCCTGCACACGATTATGAAGCAGATGTTTAATTACTACCTGAGTGTTATTAATCAACACGATTAATACACAACCCATACCACATAATTACTTTGCAATTACACCAAAACGAAATATTTTACTGTTGAGGGTTTGCTAATTACCAGGCCTTGCCAAAGGACAGGTATAATGGGCAGCAATTTTTCTTCCTTCCTCTCCTCCCTCCCCAGCCTTCTCATTAATCTTCTGGGCTGATATCCCTGCCACCCAGAACGGGGAGCCCAGGCAGGCCGCCGGACTTCTCCCCGAGCTGCTGCTTCTGCACTCATGTAGGTTTCAATGTGAACCCTAAATTGCCCTGCCCTTTCCTCTCAGCTCTCCAGCCTGGAAAAGCAGGTCCTTTCCAGAAACAAAGCCGGCCTCCTGCAGGCCACTCATGGAGAGGAAGGGGTTACACTGTGGAGCCCCAGCAGCTGCCTGGGTTTGAAGCCTAACTCCACCAGTTACTGGCTGCGTGTTCGAAGTCAAGTTAACCGTGCTTCAGTTTCCCCAGGTATAAAACAGAGATGACAGTCAGTTCTTGTATTTAACGTGAGAGAATGCATAAAGTCCTCAGCACAGTGCATGACACAGCG